AATTGGGACAACATAAAACCAAGTGACAGGTTAAAAAATAGTTATGATATACAATACCCAACGAAAGAATAAGTTTCTTTGAATTGAGTAATTATACTGAATTTTCGGTCATTATAATATATTAGATTGCTGCTGGTACTTTCAAACTATAAAGAATAACGGTATGTCTATGTTCCCTTTTCGAAAACCTAAATGGTTGTTTAGGTGTGGTAGATATGAGTTTTCCGTGAATGCAGTTGAAGATGCCAAGGGCACCAGCACCTAGTTACACCATTTTTATTGTTTTACCTTGCAGATGCTTTGTGCCTGTGTGTCACCACATGGCGCTTCACCTAGTTAGATCATTCTTTTTATTTTACCCTGCACATCTCTTGTGTCGGTGTGTCACAACACGGCGCTTCACTTAGTTAAATTATTCTTGTTTTACTCTGCAAATGACTTGAGTCGGTGTGTCATAACAGAGCACTTCACCAAATAGTTTTCCGCTCTGTAGTGAACATAAAAAAACTTTATTCTGGGCAGAGTTCCTGCAGGAACTAAGTCTGTGGCTGCATGCTTCATGAACGTGGTGTATCTCAAAAAAAAAGAGGAAACTGGCATTTAATATAATTACATATAGATTTTAAACATTCTTAAAGTGTTCTAGCAACAAAGTGGTTTAATGATTTCATTGTGCATACTATGTTTTACTATGCTATAATAAGGAAGTTATAGTTTATTTCAATACAGGTTAGTTAGAATCCCAATGATGCACCTAAAACATTCTCTGTTACCATTTTTTTGGTGTATTCAGATCAATCTCGTGAGTTTACTTTTCTTACTGGGCATATTTTAACCAGTTCAGTCATATATAGGGAGTATATATGGCTGAAAATTATAATGCAAAACAAAGCTATTAATCCCCATTTCTTAAATTGTTATTACTATTTTAAAGCATGATTACAACTTGAATGACAATTTCTAATATAAATATATGTGTGTGTGTGTGCGCTTGCGCGCGCATACATACATATATACAAACAGACATCTCTCCAGTGATGGCCAAGTGCTTAGAGCACTTGACTCACAATCTAAGGGTCGCATGTTCGAATCCCCGTCCCACCAAACATGCTCGCCCTTTCAGCCGTGGAGGCATTATAATGTGACGGCCAATCTCACTTCGTTGGTAAAAGAGTAATCCAAGAGTTGGCGGTGGGTGGTGATGACTAGCTGCCTTCCCTCTAGTCTTTCACTGCTAAATTAGGGACGGCTAGCATGTAGCTTTGCGCGAAGTTCAAAACAAACCAAACATCCAGTGATAAATTATTTTGGAAGGACTAAGCTGGGGATTTGAATGGTTCGGACAACCGCTCCCCATTGCTCTTTTTTTAACTTTTTTTTGTTTCAAATGAGGATTAAATACTGTTGTTACAATGCCCTACGTTGACATTGAATCTGAAATAAATGTCAAACAAACTGTTTTGTGTGTGTATTCGATAACTTAATATCAAGTTGCTGACGTGTTCGGTAGGCTATACTTTAAAGGTTGATTCAGACTGCTACACTTTAAACTTCTGATGCGACTTTTGATCGATCAGTTATTATATTTTCATTATTGCCATTTCCAGACACAAATAATAATCATTGAATCCCATACTTTGTCAAAGCTCCCTTATGTTATATTATAGACAAAGAGAAAATACTCGCAACTAGTGCAATTCATACGTTTTCATTTTACTTTATAAAGTAAAAGATTTGAATAACCAACGCATTTAAACTTAGCTTATCATTGCTTACATCCTTTAAAATCATACTTCGAATCGTGTATATACGTGACTCTTCTTCTGCCCAAATATCCCGATTAACTATGTTAAGATATCATCAAAGGTTTTCAACTGTTTGTTTTATACAATTCAGTGTAGCGTATGCAATAAACCTGACAGGATTCTAGATCACGCCTCTCCCCCTCCTGTAGGACAGCGATATGTCTACGGATTTACAACGCCAAAATCAGGGGTTCGATTCCCCTCGGTGGACACAGCAGATAGCCTGATGTGGCTTTGCTATAAAAACACACACACACACACACACCTAGATCACGTGGTTATAAGAGTGCTACCTGGTGAGGATTCGTACGTACAAACAATCTGACAATACGCATCATGTGACTCTTCTATTGGTTAAGAATCCCAATCATCGTTTAATGTTTGGTAAGCATGATAATTTCAACAACTGTTTATTCTGTGTTAACCACATTTCTGTTTAAAGAGTTTTCCAGATATTTAAATGATATTCGTCTTGTATTTGGCCAACATGTTCTGACGCAAGCCACTTGTATCTTGGAAGCTGGTAACTTGAAACACAAATATACTTAACGATTCTTACATTTTAGCACATAACCTAATTCTTAAATACCACTAAGACATAGTAATGATAGTATAGGACTAATATATGAAACTGTATTTTTTTTAGTAAAAAAATCCTAATTATGAAAATATTTCTTCTAAGATCGAAATGTATGTACAAAAGAATGTTAACTTACAATGCTAAATTGTTTTAATTTTTTTATGTGACCTTTCTAAATACGTGATTGGTCGTTGCATTGATGATAGCGAACTACTGCCATTATGTATAAATATACAAAACTTGTATGAAACTTTAGCATTTGGATGCATAGGGCTTGGCGGTTAGGATGATCGACTCGCAATCTGGGGGTTGTGGATTCGAAACCCATTACCGAACATGGTCGCCCTTTCAGCCGTGGAGACATTATAAGGTGACTGTAAATCCTACTATTCGTTGAAAATGAGTAACACAAGAGTTGGCGGTGGTGACTAGCTGCCTTCCCTCTACCCTTTCACGCCAAAATTTGAGACGGCTAGAACAGATAACTTCGAGTAGCTTTGCGCGAAATTTGACAACACAAACGATTCGGACGCATGATATCCCTTGGTGAGAGGCATATATGTTGATTGGTTGTTGTTAAGCGCAAAACTACACAAATGACTATCTGTGCTATGCCCGACACGGGTATCGAAACCCGAATTTTAGCGTCATAGGCCTGCAGACTTACTGCTGAACCACTGGGTGTGGTATATATATATTTTGCGTTTTGGTAAGGATACAAATACATTTTTGTATATTACTGAGTTTTCTCCATTCATGTGTTTGTTACTGTATCGTTTTCTCTTCTTTTTTTTGTCTGAATGCTTTAACATTTAGCTACTGTGACAGCTAATACTTGATTGTACCACAGTTGTTCTCTCTTACATGAATTATTGAGAAAGATATTATTATTTTATCAATCCAAAAATAGGGTAAAATATTATGTCGTCAAGAAATTAATGTCGCTTTTTTTAGATGAAAAATCTCGAACAACTTATGTATCAAAACAAAACATT